TTTATTTATATTGGGGGAAATCTAGAGGCCAAGGGAGAGGAAAGAGATAGGAAGTGGGGGGTAAAATCGACACAGAAGTGCTCTGATGTCCCAAGGGCCTCCACTGTGCAGAAGGAACACCCAGCAACTCATGGCTGTGACTGCGCAGGGATGTCCCTGGGTCACAGAGGACCCTCAAACACCACACTGTCTGTCCCTGAACACCTGTGGTCCGGAACTCAAGCCCTGCATGGGGAGGTTTAGAATCTCTCCCCTACCTTAGCTAACGCTTTCTCACCAGTGCCCAGTGCAAACGGGGACCTATGTTTGCTAAATAAATACAAACGCGCAGAGTGACTCCTGCTCCCTACACCGTCTAAGAGAAAGGCCATTGCTGGATGAAACATAAATATTTACTGAGCTGTATCAATGACAACAGGAATATTAACGACTACTTTTCACCGAGGGCTGGGCCAAGCTAAAGTTCGCTCAGTTCTCTCATTTGGAACTCATCACACAACCCTGTGAGGTACTGTTATTATTATTCCATTTTCCAGATTAAAAAACCTGTAAGCTAAAAGGATTAAGTAACTTGCCCTAGGTTACACAGCTAAGAAAGCAGTAAGGCCTGGATTCCAAGCGAGGTCAAAGGACTCCAAAGCATGTGTCACCAACCTCTATTTTACTGCTGCCTCTAGGCTCCATACTCCCTGGGAACCAGTTATCAAACATACTTCCCATGGGGCATGTTTTGGAAACAATTTATTTAAAAAAAAATTTTTTTTAATATGCATTTTTCAGAGAGAGAGAGAGAGAGAGATGGAGTGCGAGCAAGGAACGGGGAGAGAGAGAGAGAGAAGGAGACACAGAATCCAAAGCAGGCTCCAGGCTCTGAGCTGTCAGCACAGAGCCTGACGTGGGGCTTGAAACCATGAACCGCAAGACCATGACCTGAGCTGAAGTTGGATGCTTAACTGACTGAACCACCCAGGTGTCCCTGGAAACAATTTATTTAAAAGTACGATACATTTCAAAGTATTAGGAAAAGTACTAATGTATTCCTAGCTGATCAGATGATAATTCCTCTGTTTTCTACGAATAAGTACAAGAAACAAGACTGTTTTATATACCCATGCTTTCTAGACTCTTCCTCCATCCTGCCAGGTGTTCAATAACCCAGGACCTTAAAAGATCTTAGACTGGGAGTTCTCTTTAACCAGGCACAGGGATGGGGATTCAGGAGTAACTCGGTTAACAAAATAAAGGATAAACCACCTTCTTTTTGTGTTATTAAAACTCTATGGCAGCAAATTAATTTTTACTGATCTCAATAAGTAACAAAACACTTACAGATGTTATGAATACAATTAATCTAATTGATGATGCTAACAAATACCTGAAAACTCACAACCTGGGTGGGGGGGGGTCTCCTCTCCCGCCCCCCCCACCACATACATACACACACACACACACACACACACACACACACACACACACACACACACGCACACACACAGAAACTTCCCAGGAGACAAATCAAGGAGCAAATATAGAAACAGATCTAAAATTCAGTGCTTAAGAGACTTTAAAAGCAGTTTTCTTTAGACATATGTGACACGAAGGGACCCCACAAAACTTGTTCTGGTAACTAGAAAGCAAGTTCCTCTGCATTCATAACAGCACAGACTTCCTTTACAATGATGAAACTAAAGAGCAAAGGTAAGTAGGAGATTCAAATCTCTCTCGAGTTATAAGGATCACCTGGATTTCATGAATGTCGTTTATGAAAAACTAAAAAGGAATTCAAACTAGCAAGGCAATATTAAAAACACACTAAACATCTGGGCATTATACTATTTTTAAAATATCAGTTTACGGGGCGCCTGGGTGGCGCAGTCGGTTAAGCGTCCGGCTTCAGCCAGGTCACGATCTCGCGGTCTGTGAGTTCGAGCCCCGCGTCGGGCTCTGGGCTGATGGCTCGGAGCCTGGAGCCTGTTTCCGATTCTGTGTCTCCCTCTCTCTCTGCCCCTCCCCCGTTCATGCTCTGTCTCTCTCTGTCCCAAAAATAAATAGAAACGTTGAAAGAAAAAAAAATTTTAAAAAAATATCAGTTTAATGAAGAAAATAAAACAACATAAGAACACCTACTGTGTATGAGGGACAGTCACCTGTTCTGCCATTTAATTCTCTCAACAACCAAAGGAAGTTGATAACATCTTTTTTTTTTTTTTTTAATAAATCGAGGTTCAGAAAATTCAGAAATTCATCTAAAGTTAGACAATTGAAAAAGTAAGTACATATTGGGTATCTGGGTGGTGCAGTCAGTTAAGCATCCAACTCTAGATCTCAGCTCAGGTCACGATCTCACGGTTCTTGAGCCCTATGTCCGGGTCTGGGCTCTGCAGTGATAGTGAGGAACCTACTTGGGATTCTCTGATTCTCTCTCTCTCTCTCTCTCTCTCTCTCCCTCTGCCCCTCCCCCAGCTCCTATGTGCATTTGCTCTCTCAAAACAAACTTAAAAAAAAAGTAAATATAACAAAAATAAATTCTAAAAATCAAATACAATTTAAAATAAGTAAAATAACGGAAACTTGTGGGAATCTAAATCCACTACTCCTTGCTTTAGAAGGAAGAAAAAGAAAGGAAAGAAGAAAGGAAGGCAGGCAGACAGGGGGGAAAGAAACCCATAGCCAGATCTGGTCAATGCCATGAATGCTAATGTCTCAGAGACTGAAATCCAAATGAAACATGGGACCAGTACTAAGCCTGCCTTATCGCACAGACTTCTTTTTGTTAAGCCATTTGCTTTACCAAATTATTATTTTAAAGCCTCAACTTAAAAACTGAAAATTAGGGGCTCCTGGGTGGCCCAGTTGGTTAAGTGACTGACTCTTGATTTCGGCTCAGGTCACGATTTCATGGTTTGTGGGTTTAAGCCCTGCATCAGGCTCTGTGCTGACAGCATGGGGCCTACTTGGGATTGTCTCTGTCTCTCCCCCCCCCTCCCTCCCCCCCCATCTCTCAAAATAAATAAATAAACTTTAAAAAACTAAATAAATAGGGGGATGCCTGGGCGGCTCAGAGCCTGAAGCCTGCTTGGGGTTCTGTGTGTGTGTCTCTCTCTCTCAAAAATAAATACCTATTAAAAAATGTTTTAACTAAATAAAAACAAAAAAACAAAAAAAAAATCTCCTAGCTCTGTCACGGTCAAGAACAAGGGTGCATCGGCATGCATTTTCCTTAAAATAAAAACCAGAAGGAAAGTTTGAAGGTAGCCAGAGCTGCCCTGGCTCAGATGGCGTCTGTGTTCACCAGCATTAAGCCACAGGAGTCTCGTTTGGCCCTCGGTAACAGACACAGAGAATCACCAAGAATTACCAAAGCACAGCCACCAGGACATAACGAATGAAGAAAATGGTTAAGCGTTCTTACCCAAAATGAGCACAAGGACGTAATGAAAGTCATTAAGAAAATTCAGAGAGTAATTGCAGGCAGACTCCCCCACCCCCAAGAAAGTAATCGGCTAATAAACGTTGAATATCTTTTGCGTAACCATTTGTAATAGGCTCAGATGAGGCCTTCACCAATAGGCCCAGGATTAATGAATGGCATTTTAGATGAAACACAAAAGTACCCGTGAGACAATGAGAATTAGAACTTTTACTGCACAGTCTGTGTTTCCTCTTTTTCATAGGCGCTTGCATGTACTATCGCTGGAGATTTTATCACACATGTTTTATAGTTTTTGTTCCTAAAAGCAGTCGGCCTTCCTCCATAACCTACTGTGCGCGCGGTGATCTTCAAGCACTTGGCCTGTGTTGTCTCATTTAATTCTTAAGGAGCAGAGACAGAAATCTGCAGACAATGCAACCAGGAAGACGGGAGAGAATCTTTTCTCAGGCCGACAGGGCGGGCAGTTTCCGGGAGGGGAACTCGGCGGCGTCCGGAGCTACCCAAGAAGGACTTGGAGCCCGCCGGGGGCACCGCGGGCAGGCCGACGGGGTCAGGTGGGGTTGAGCGGGACTCACCGGGCGGAAATGGGGCCCACCCGCCCCTTACTTTTGGTGTCAACTCCCCTCCCCCGTTCTGCATCCCCCACAGCCGTCGCCAATGCGAGTTCGGAGCCGCGTTCCAGGACCAGGCGCGCACAACCCCCTCGGAGAAGTCGGGCTGACAACGGAAGGCTTTTCTTTCGCTTGGGGAGGTGTGAGGACGTGGGGGGGGGGGGGGGGGGGGGGTTACAACACTTGCCACTCTCTGCCACCCTCCCCCCCCCGCCCCAACACGTTGCCCCTCTGCACGCACACCAGCGAAGCCGCAGCGCCGGGTATCACACCGGGGAGGGAAGGAGATGGCTTGGGGCCCCGCCGCGGGAGCTGGCGGATACGACTCTACGGTCACCGGGGAAAACGTCCCTCTTCCGCATCACCTCCCAACCTGAGTTAAAGCTCGCGGTAGATGTCAGGAGGGCGCCTGGTCCTGCAGCCGCCGCGGCGGAGGCGGTCTCGCCCTCCATCCCTCCCCGCAGGTGCGCCAGGGTACCCGAGGTCCTAAGGTCTTTTTCAGACTCGTTGGCATCGGCTCCCAAAGGGGGCCCCCGCAGAACCCAGCCAGGGAGACTTCCAGAGGGGCGGCAGACACTGCAGGGAAGCCAGCGACACTCCCCAAGGACCCGCAAGTCCTGCCAGGCTCGCCCCTCAAAGCTTAACCCCGGACATGTGCGTGGCAAACCCAAACGATCCAAACGCCACCTGCGAGTTTCCTCGCCTCCCAGCAGGTGAAACCCGCACGGACGTCTCCACAGCGCTGCCTCCCCATCCCCGAGGCCAAGAAGGCTCCCGCGACCCCCGCCTAAGTCCCACCGGTGCGGGCTCCGGAGCCCGAGGGCGCGGACAGCTGCTGCCACCGCATCCCCGATCCTGGGAGTCCGCCCGCTCCGCGGCGGCCAGGGGACCTGTGGGACACTGCGGGGCCGGTTGGGTGGGGAAAGTTGGGGGCCCGGCGCCGCGCCCCTCCTTACCTGGCGCTCGCCGGCCCCTGCTGGGACATCCGTCGGGTGCGCGCCCCTCCGCGCGCTCGCTGCGCACCTGGCCGTTGTCGCCGCCACCGCCCGGTCCCAGCCCTGGCCGCCGCGCTAGCGCTTCATGGCGCACGGGGCTGGCCCGGGGCCCCGGGAAGCGTGTCCAGTTGGCAACGGCTCCTCCGGCTCTCGCCTCTCGCCAATGGCTCCCCGCCTTCCCCCGCCCCGCGTCCGAGCGCCAGTCCTCGGCGGCCGCCCTTTTCCCTCCGCTCCCCGGGACCGGCCAAACTGGTTTCTCCGCTCCGGGGTGGTGCCTCCAGTCTCTCACTGGCAGCCGCGGCTGGGGCTGGGGGCGGGCCCGGCCGTCTGCCCTCCCTTTGTCCCTCCCGGGGGCGGAGAGGGGCTGGACGTCGAGCCCCAGGGCGGGCACACGCGGCCCAGGTCCAGCCCCGCGCCCTCCGTGCGCCCTGGCGGCAGGTGGGCACCCAGGCGGTGCCCCGAGCTCGTCCCCTGCCTCGCCCGACCTGCCACTTGGCAGCTGCGATCGCTGTCGGCTCCTTTGGCGCTCCCGCCTCCCGGGGGGCCGCGCTAGCCGCCCCGCCCCACCAGCTTCGCGTCACTTTCCCGCCGCCCTCGGCTGGCCTGGCCGCCGCCCGGGGTCGGTGACCTCCCCAGCCCGGAAAGCTGGCCGGGCCGCGGCTCGCCTGGAACCTGCCCCCCCTCGGTAAGGGGAGCTGTACCCTCCCGACGCCGCCAAGTCACGTTCCAGGACTGGTCACCGAACGGGCGTCGCGGTTCGCTGCGCAGAGGGTGGGGAAGGGGCCGGCGCCAAAAGACTTGGAGAAACTTACCTGTAGTCGCAGCAAGCAGGCTTTGTGCGGAGACCTAGCTCCTCTGCCTTTAGGGGTTTGGGGTCAAAAGCAGCCAAGGTGCAGCAGGTGAATGGCACGGAGTAGCTGGAAAATTTGGCTCGCGTGCGTGGTTGCTAGCTGGGGTCTGGGCTTGCATTCATGCCTCCTTGACAGTATATATATCACACTCCACATCGGATACTCCACTCCGCGGGATTTTACTGCTCACCCACTAGCAAGAGTCACTAAGGAGAATGGAGGAAAGTCAAAGATGAATGAAAAGGTTTGCTTAACATGTAGTAGGGGAGATAGAACCCCTAAGTGAATATCTAGTTACCTGCAGATCAGAGAGGTTCAGGTCATGAGCCTGAGCGTGAATTCAGACACTCAACTAGGGGCTTAAGGAGGCTCCCAGTTGGGTGTCTTCTCTGAGGAGGCCATGCTTAAGATGGGCCTCAGAGGTTCACACTTTTAGGGATCAGACTTACACGGAGAAGACATTCAAAGAGTAGTCCACTCATTTGGTCTCCAGGTGCATGAGTCAACTGATATTGTTAAACCATAAACTACCCTGTATTTCTTTCTCATTAGTCACACTTGATTAAAAAAAAAAAAAAAAAATCTCTACACCTAATGTGAAGCTCCAACTCAGAACCCCCAGACCAAGGGTCTCTCCCTCTACCAGGTGAGCCAGCTCAGTGCCCCCACACACTTGACTTTTGCCTGGGTCGGCTGGTCAGTCATTCACTCTCTCTCTGGGCCTCAGTTTTCTCATCTATAAGTGAGACCGGACCAGATTATCTCAAATGGTTCCTTCCAGTTTCTGAGCCCAACACCAGAGCAAAGGTACAGAAGCCAGAAAACACAGGCGTGCCTGGATGGCTCAATTAAACATCTGACTTTAGCTCAGGTCATGATCTCACGGTTTGTGAACTGGAGCCCCCCATCCAGCTCTCTGCTGTCAGTGCAGAGCCTGCTTTGGATCGTCTGTCTCCCTCTCTCTCTCTTTCGCAAAAATAAATAAACATTAAAAAAAAGAAGGGGTGCCTGGGTGGCTCAGTCAGTTGAGCATCCGGCTTCGGCTCAGGTCATGATCTCACGGTTGGTGAGTTCGAGCCCCACGTAGGGCCCTGTGCTGACAGCTTAGAGCCTGGAGCCTGCTGTGGATTCTGTGTCTCTCTCTCTGCCCCTCCCCTGCTCGTGCTCTTCCCTGTCTCTCAAAAGTAAATAAACATTAAAAAAATTTTTTTAAAATAAATAAAAATAAAAAATAAAAAGAAGAAGAAGAAGCTAGAAAACATAGGGCCCAGTTAGTTATGATGGGGAAGACCAGTTGGCTGACAGTGTGGTGGTAATACATAAGGCTGGAGAAGGAATCAGGGCCTAGAAGCCTTTGAAGGCAGGTTAAGGAGTTTCGGCTTCCTTTTGCCAGCACCTGCAAAGCATTGAAAGTTGGTGATTACAGCTGTGACATCCAGGTTGTGTTTTAGGGAAAGCGATGGGACTAGCTTGGAAGAAGACTCAAATGGGGGCACCACTTAGGAAGCTAGTAAAGCAACAAAAGGCGGCCTGAAGGAGTTGCCAGCGGAAGGAAAAAAGGAGGAACTCTCAGGGACGGCAGCAGGAGAAGTGACAGGGCACAGAGTGCCCAGAATCTGCAACTGAGTGGCAGACAGAGGCACGAAGGTGAGCCAAGTTCTCCAGACCAGCGGCTGGCATTAGTAGGGGCAACAGAGTCAGGAGGAGGGCTCTGCCCTACTAGGAGAAATGCCAATAAACCCAAGAATCAGGACATGACTTTAGATTAAAGGAAGGATCCTTCCTTCTTGCAGGTCTACAAGAAGGTGCTCAATCTAAGAAAACATCGCACAGAAGAGAGACTACCCTAAGACACATCCAACCCACCCCTGCTCTCAGATCAGATAACACTGCTATGGCTGCATTTAATATTCCTGTGTAGACACTGAAGAGTTGAAGCTAGTTTGTTTCTCAGTGGAGTGGAGAGTGGAGAGAGGTGTGGATAAAGGAACATCATGGGGAATGTTTCAAAGATTCGTTCATTTAACAACTTCACATAGTAGGCGCTGTTCTAGTTGCTTGGATACATCAGTGAACCAATCAGGCAAATTGCATCAAAAGTGAAAATGCTTTAGAAAAAATAGAGGAGGACTGTCTGGGAGGAGGCCACTGTGGGAGACTTCTAGCCTCCTGTAAAAGTACTACCCTTTACCCTTTATCCTATAAGCTGCTTTGAATCTTCCTAAATTGCATTTTGAACATTTTTCAAAGAATTAAATATTCTGAATATTCAGATAGAATACTTAGATAGAATTCTAAGATGCCTCTCAAGTTCCATATCTTGATCTGGGTGATGGTTAGAGGAGTGTATACATATATAAGAGTTCATCGACCTGTACGCTTAAGATTTGTACCTTCATGATCTCACGGTTCGTGAGTTCAAGCCCGGTGTCGGGCTCTGTGCTGACAGCTCAGAGCCTGGAGCCTGCTTCTGATTCTGTGTCTCCCTCTTTCTGTACCTGCCCCCCACACTCTGTCTCTCTCTCTCTCTCTCTCAAAAATAAAGATTTGAAAAAAAATAGGAAAAAAAAGATTTTTACCTTAAAAAATAATACAAATAGAGCAGGGCGAAGAGATTAGGAGTGGGAGAATGAATTGCAATTTTAAACAAATTGCAGATTTAAACAAATGACCAGGGTAGGCTCCATGAAGAGATTTGGATTTGAAGAAGACTTGTCAGAAGGCAAAAGAGTTTCATCCCAGGTGAGAGAAATTCTTCGGAAACTCATTTCACCTAGAACCCACCAGACAAAGGCATGTTCAAACCTCGTCCTACTGAGTTTCCCTCCCATAATGCCTTCCGGGTCATTGAAAAGGCGACTCTCAGAGCATGTCTGCTGCTGTTGCTGATAAAGGAAGTAGCTCAACTCAAGTCCTGACTTTTGTCCTCTCTGAAAGATCCATGCCAAATTTCAGGGTGCCTTGTCAGGTCAATCCCTGGAAGTGTTTCATGCATGCAACAAGGATTGATTTTGAAATGTGTCTTACGTGAGTCACCTCTTTGTCTTAGGGGCAGCCCTGACTTCACCAGCCTCTGTGATTCTTTCTCAGTGAACCCCAATGGGATTGAATAGTATCCTGGTTTTTTTTTTTTTAATGTTTTAATGTTTATTTATTTTAAAGAGAGAGATAGAGTGCGAACAGGGGACAGGCAGAGAGAGAGACACAGAATCTGAAGCAGGCTCCAGGCTCTGAGCTGTCAGCACAGAGCCTGACGTGGGGCTCAAACCCACAAACCACAGGATCATGACCTGAGTTGAAGTCAGATGCTGGACCGACTGAGCCACCAAGGCGCCCTGCATTCTGGTTTTATTTAGAAGCCACTCCCATTCAGCAACCAACACCTTTACCTTGCAAGGGGGAAAAAATACCACACTTGGGAAAGTAATGAACCGAAACAGTCATTTCTAAATAAAGATGACGTTGCCTTTCAGATTTTGTAGTTCGCAATCTCCTCTATTTCTTTTTGTTTCTTTTTTCTTTTTTCTTTTTTCCTTTCTTGGCAACACTCCTATGCATTTCCATGATGTGGGTAGGAAGGCTGGGGAGGTTAGCAAAAGATCTAGCTCAATTTTACTGAAAATTCATGTCCTAGAATTTTTTGTTCTATAAGATATGAGCTCAAGAATAAAAACTATGTTAAAGGGAGGTGATGCTGCCTGTATTCAGTTCTTTACTAAGCTCGGTGGTCATTTAAGCTAAAGCATTTAATACCAGTGGAAAGGTATTCATGCTGCACTAGGTCCTATTGTAACCCACGCAGGACAGTCAAGTTTAACGCATTTGGAAGATAAATTCTTCCCAGCCATCTTCCAGATGAGCTCCAGAATTTTAAACATGATAAGAAGGTATCTATTAGGTGAATCTCTCTTTGCAACACGCGAAATTAGAAGCTTCAAATAGTCTGCCCCACTTTCTTTTAAATGGTATTTAAAACAACAGATAGAGATGATATAATCTGTAGACCCTGCACATATAATTTTTCCAAATTCCTTCTGATTTATAGGCTTTCCACCTCCTTTACTACTTATTGCCTTCTTTCTTCTGACCAACACTTTAAATAAAAAAATATGATTGCAAAAGAAATCTTGACCATCAAGGTAACTAAGTGTCTCTCAGTTAGTTACTACCCATGCTCAATGTGCAAGAGGTGTTAGGGGACGCATTATTCCTCAGCACATTATTAAAGTTCATTTCTCTTTCTTTCATATTCATGAGTATATAAATATGAAGCATTAGTCCACAGTTATTTTTTTTTAATTTTTTTTAACGTTTATTTATTTTTGAGACAGAGAGAGACAGAGCATGAACGGGGGAGGGTCAGAGAGAGGGAGACACAGAATCTGAAACAGGCTCCAGGCTCTAAGCTGTCAGCACAGAGCCCGACGTGGGGCTCGAACTCACGGACCGTGAGGTCATGACCTGAGCTGAAGTCGGCCGCTTAACCGACTGAGCCACCCAGGCGCCCCCACAGTTATTTTTTTTGTACAAAGAGTTCAATTACCTATG